ACACACACCCACTTACAGATTGAGAAGTTTCACAGGATAATATTTATCCCTGCTACATTTGATGATTTCCATTCCTTTTTTTTATTTTTTGATGCTGGTTGCATTAAAAATCGGTGAAGCTGATTTCATGACTCACTAGTCTAATGAGTGAAGACCTGCAGTTTGTAAAACACTCTCTAGGCTGTTTATCCCAAATGACCTTCTAACACAAGTATCAGCAAACTACGGCTCCTGGGCTAAATCCAGGCCAATGTCTGCTTTTGTAAATAAAGTTTTATTGGAACATAGTCATGCTCATTCATTTACATATCGTCTATGCTTTTGTGCTACAGCAGCAGAGGTGAGTAGTTGCAACAGACACTATATGGCCCATAGAGGCTAAAACATTTACTTTTCTGGCCCTTTATGGAAAAAATTGCTGATCTATACCCAGATCTAACCCTGCGTCTCCTTTGCTTAAATTTCTCCAGGGATCCACTTTGCCCTCTGGCCCCAACTCAAGCTTCTTTGCCTGGCTTAGAAAACCACCTCCTCTAGCCTCCCTTGCTCTGTTCCTGCTGACCTCCCTTCCCCAGGGGGTTCATGTTCTCCCCCAGCATGAGCAGGCTGTGGGGGTATGGGGATAAGGCCCCTGCTTGCTTCCTGATGCCTAGTTCTGCTCCCTGCCCCACAGGCCTCCTGGGAATGGTTGCCCACATGATGTACACGCAGGTGTTCCAGGTCACCGTGAGCCTCGGCCCTGAAGACTGGAGGCCCCATTCCTGGGACTACGGGTGGTCCTTCTGGTAAGTGGCTTTTGACTTCAGGGCAAAAGCACCTTAGGTGCCAGACCCCCGAGGCATGCTGGGTCAACAGCAGCTCAGCCCAGTTGTGGGGGCAGAAGAAGCGGGGGTAGCCTGCAGTCCAAAGGCGTTTGGGACCCTAGAGCAGTGGTTGGCAAACTATGGCCCTGGAGCAAAATCCGGCCCACCACCTGTTTTTATACAGTCGTCAAGCTAAGGATGGTTTTTACATTTTTAAATGCTTGAAAACAAATCAAAAGAGGAATAATATGTTGTGACATGTGAAAATTACATGGAATTCAAATTTCGGTGTCCATAAGTAAAGTTTTCTTGGAACACAGCCTCACTCATTGTGTGCGAATTATTTACGGCTGCTTTCACACTACAAAGTCTAGAATATTCATTCTCTGGCCCTCTGCCGACCCCTTCCTTAGATGTCTGCTCTGGAAGGTGGAGATAACAGCTGGCAAAACCTGGAGTCAGGCGAGCTGTGGAGGGTTCTGGGTGGTTCGATGGGGTAGGAGGACCCCAGGGAGAGGCCTGATGCAAGGAACACACCTCAGAATGTGGTGTGTGCAAGAAAGGCAGAATTAGTCAGGATTCTTTTGCTTGCAAGCCATAGGATCCCAAGCTTCAGTAAACAAGAGGTGTGTATTAGTTCATGTAACTGAGAAGCCCAGGGGGATCAGAGAGGGCATCTGGGTTGTAACAGAAAAACCCACCCACATCAGTCTAAGCAAGAAGGAGATGCACTGGTGCATGGAAATGGGCAGCGCAGCCAGGGCGTGGACTTCGGGGTGCGTTCCATCCAGCGTCGCTGACGTCATCAGGACTGAGTTCCCTTCCTCTGTGACCATCTGAGCACGGTCCCTCCACATGCTGACTCTGCCCCTGGGCTGGCTTCCCCCTTGATGGAGAGAAAGCGCCTCCTGAGGCTGGTTCTTCCTCCTTCACATAAAGGGGAGAAAGAGCTTTTTTCTTCAACATAGACTAAAATCCCAAGCTTCCCTCTGATGGGCTTTTTCTCTCCT